TTTCGTTCAGAAAGTTTATTCATGATATACATCAACCCCATGCATTCTAGTCATATTTATACGCTTGTGCATCAAAACATATCTCATAATATTATTCGGTGTTCACAATAAAGAATAGAAATTTTTCCTTAAAAAAAAACTTTTATACTTTTTTATACGATTGTCAAGACATTTTGCTAATTACACTGGCGCACGGAAAGTTATATCAATTACTAAATGTACAAAAATGAAAAAAAAAAGATTGTTATTGAAGGTATAACTATGCATGAACAATTTGTGCTTGGAATAATGATTTCTAGAAGGGCAGCCTGCCAAGTGTTCTTTTTAAGCAGAAGCATTGTCCATAAATAAAAATGCTGAACGCGGAAAATTGAGATTGTTATCGAGATACAGTGGTCCGTAGAACAATTCCTCAAGATGTATAAATCACCCGCAGTCAAGGTGATCTCTCGATCCTATTCAGTGGTGCGAGCGAAATGCCCCCTTGTTGGGTTGCCACTGAAAAACCCAAAACAAGCGATGTATTAAAAAAAACAAAAAGAACAAGAAACAAAAATAAAAATAGTACCACCCTACGCTGAACACAATTTCGGGGGAAGCGAAACATGATAGCAACAATATATTATTGGCGTAAAGGTCACGGACGGGCGTTGCAGCCGCTGTTGCTGTTACCTTCGATGGGGTCATTGATCGAAATGTGACTGCCTGTTAGTGTTTTTTTAAACACTTTTTTCAAGACGTCAGCTTCTTCTACGACCCGCTACACATCAGGAGCGCCAGTCAGAGCAAGAGGTTATTACATCCGCTTTTTAGGCTAATAAGACCTTGTATAATTTGCCCTATCACACTCAAGTGTGATAGGGCAAACTATAGCATTATCAATTGATAATGCTAAAATGCTAATTATTCTTAGTAACTTACACCTTTGGGTGTAAAACTGAAACATGATACCTACATATTTCTGCTACTAGTCTAAATTGTATAAAACTTGGAATAATACCGATAAATTACCAAAGTGAAACCAAGCAACAAAGACACTAAATTCAAGACTTATTGTCTCGCGCACCTTGTTTCTCTTAGGTGTATAAAAGGTGAATTTGCACAGTCTGCAAAACGGTGGTAATGTAGTGTTATATCGTCGAGTCACAATTTATCTGAACAGATATACTAAATTATTCATGTGCTCTAGTTTTGTTCGGCAGGCTGGAATTTAAGGCGCAAGGAACAGACACTGATATGAAGTAGACAGGAAAGCGCTATTCTGTCTATTCCATGTAGCGCTGGCCTGTCTAATTAATGTCCGTGTCTTTCCATTGCGTTTTATAATTCCATTATCTAGATAGAGTTCCTAGATCTAATCGTTAATTTATTTTTCCCCTTCGTGTAAAAAAAAGAAAACGTAACTACCAATATTTTTACCAAAGTGAGCTGAATTCAGAGAGTGCGATCTTTGCATTTATTTATGTTCAATTCGAATAAACGTTAGCCAGCGAGAATTGAGTTTCACCTAATAGCAAAAGGTTTCCATTCAATGCCCTCAAGAGAGTAACAGATAAAAAACGTACGCCCTCTGACCGTTCTCTTGGCCGTCTGCATTAATTTAATTACTAGAGCTAGATCTCTTAACAACAGGCCTCGCGTTTGCATATGAGGCGTGGTTGCTCATAATAAAGTTTTACTCGGAGATACAACACTATTGCTTTTCCGCCTGGCCTAGCGAGCGGTGAGGGAGTCATATGTTGCTTTAGTAACTCAGCCTTCTAGAGCACTATTGCTTTCCCACCTGGTTTACAGAGTGGTGAGGGTGTGATATGCTGCTTTAGTAACTCAACGTTAGCTACACTAGCGTTTTACCCCCTGGCTTACAAATTGGTGAGGGAGAGATCGGTTGCTTTAGTAAGTCAGCCTTCAGTGTAAAATCGTTCTCTCTCCCTCTGCCTTTTTTAGACCCAACACTTTCTTTCAAAGATTAACCTCTACTCGGATTCGATATAATTCTTGACATGGAAATGTAGCAGCTCTTAATCTTTATTTTTATCTAATAAACAAACTCTTGCATTTGTATCTGGTTTAATAAATAATTATTTACAATATCAGTCAGGTTTCATAATTTCTCACAGAGTCAAAACACAAGGATGCTTCACATTTGAGGGAAGGGTATATATTATACAAATTGCGCATTGGCGAATAAGGCTGTAAAATAGGACATTGATGGGCCAGTTAATTGATCGACATAATAAAGGTGTAAAAGAGACTGGACAATGTCAGAAAAACCATATCAAGAGCGTGTCCGGGGCGTGTGTGCTTTCGTAGTTCGTTACGTCCTGTTTGCGCTTTTATTTCATTGTGCATAAATCCCTGCGCTTTTTTTTTTTTGATAATTGATGGTGGTTTGTTCTAGCAGCTAACATTCCAAATAGGCGCGATAATTACCACTCCGATAACTGTCACTGTGGAGAGAGGATTGGCGTTGTCCCAGTTACGCTAAGAGCGAATCCGGATTGTTCTGGGCCCTTAGACCAGCGCTGCCGAACAGTTAAGCCCAAATGGCTATTCAATGTCGTGTGAGTATTTTTTCGATACCGCTTCAAACAAAAAAATATTCTTTTAGATTGCTTTTTCCTACTGCTTCATCTCACGCCTTTTTACTCCCCAAAAATGCGTCAAAATCCAAATCGCTCCTAAGGTCTGCACACAAATGCCTTCTTTAGCGAATGAAAATTTGCTAATGCGATGTCTCTCCATCACGTTTTTCAAGTAAGCAACATCTTTCTAGAAGAGGCTTGTTCATTGCGAAAGCGCTTGCATTCCATTAACACTCGAAATTCTAACAACACTAAAAAAATACCACTAATAAAAAAATTCATTCTTGGGTGATTGCGCAGATTAGATTATTATAATCGTCATCGCATCAACAAGCCATATTCCGCCAAATACTGCTCAATTTTTTTTTCTCGTGCAATTTGCTTGTTATATTTGACTAAGCTGTACTGTCTCTAAGTGGAAACAAATATTTTCGGCGTTTGATATATTACAAAACGCAAGACACATATTTTTGTTTATTTGAATAAACAACTAATATGAGGGAGGTCATTTCTTACTGAACATACAATGAAAATATCCCAATGTTCCTAAAATAAGTTTACAAATTACGCCAGCAAAATAATGGAATAAATGACAGCACCAATTTCGGTTTTGTGAAATTTACCATAGAAAATCTATATATTCTTAAATATGAGTTGTATTATTAGCGTTTTTATTCAAAGGGAAAAGCGACTTTTTCTTGTTATTTGTATTCTAAAACTCATTAGCTTTTTGAGTTTTCAACTCTCCGAAAATAATTGATAAGCCATCTTTATTTCACGCATTAAAATCATTATCAGCGGTTTCTGAACTGGGGTCTACGGCTACTCGTTATCGTAGGCATTCGAAATCTTGAGGAATAAATATCTCACAACGTCCTCGTGCTGGTTAATTTCTATAGTCGAGTTCTCTCCTAATGACAACTTTCTTTGGGAAAGCGCTCACGTGCTCGATAACATTGACAATAGAATTATGTATGAGATTGTTTTCTCCGGGCTCATCCACATGATCGAAAAGAAAATATACAGGCCACGCTCGACCACGGATTCGACTTCTATGTATTTCTCCCGACGCCGACATCAGCACCCGAGTCTATAAAACTGTTTCCTTTACGTTCAGGTAAAAATGTTAGTCCTGAACCGATTGGTTGTGATTACTAGATGCAAACTTTTTTTTATTGGTTGATTCATTTACTTATTTTCTTTGCAGGAACACGGCACATTCTAGAGAAAGGGAAGACAGAAATTGTTATATCAAATTAAGTTATCGGTCACGGATCTACGAAGCTGTTTATAAACAAGAGCTTGATACAATATTCGTATCCTTTGTAGAAGGCAAAAATATTGTGCACTGCGTAATGTTTTACCATGGTTGTGTATTTTTGTCTATATTATTTATATTTATAAAGTATCCAAAAAATCTCGCCGAATTATTCCTAAGTACGTTAGTGGTTTCTTGGTGATAAAAATTTTTAGAAGCGTTGACTAAGAAAGTTAAGACCGGTCATCGAAATACTTCCAAATCGGCGTAGTTGGTTTAGAAGTATTTCAGTTAGTAAACCAAATTTTAAACAATACCTGTCAGTAAAACATTACTTTTATAAAACAACAGCATAGAAAACAAATAACTGTATTTAGGGTGACAATATTAGTTGATGCGGTACTTAAAGATATGTTCAAGATAATGGTTAAGCGCTTCGTTGTGTTCTAACCAGAAATATACGAAAACACATTCAGAATTCAATTGAAGTAAGGGCATATTTTCTTTTAAATTAGGCATGTCACCAGTGTACGAAGACTTTGATCAATAGTGTTTCCCTAAGATCTTGAACGCTTTAGACACTTTCACAGTTATATTCACACCTTCAGCCCTGTGAACACGTTCGGTGCCACTTATCGTGAAAATACTGAAAATTAAAAAAAAAAGAAACTGAACAATATTTAGTCCTTTCCACGTGGCTCTCAGTATAAATGGTTAAATACATGTGCTTCTGGCGAGGAACTCGTTCGCATAGCACTATGCCAAGTGAAAGTTTGATGCTTATTCAAATAATTTTGGTTTAGAAACTGTTTATCCCATAAACTATCAGAAACCCACAAGTTTTATTTTAGGTAAGTGAGACGTTCTTTTTGAACTTTCGTGAGCTCTAGTCGTTGGTTTAAAATGTTGTTGCAATTGCACAACTTTTGGAAACCTAATGTGTTCATTATTATAATCAGGCGAGCAATGTTATTGTCAAATATTAACTTTCATATGTATTCATATATTTATTCATTACCCGAATTCGGACATTCTTTTCCCATAAGCCTGAAACATCAATATGAGTTTTATATTTTCATGCTCAACCCGCTGTTTTTGAGGGTGCTTCAATTGAGAACATATAAGTTTGAAGTGAGAATCACTGATTGGAAACTTACCTATCCGAAGAACTTCAGGCAAGGAGCTTGAGCTTACGTTGGTGCAAACCACGACCACATAAACGAAGAACAAATTTGTCCACGAAACACTTCCTGGGATGCATGTTTGAAGTAATCGTCCCATCATGTCACGAAAGGCTGCGGCGCAACATGTCTATGGCTGTCCAACCGTGGAGAGATGGTTCATGTAGTGGTATCCATTGGTATCCGATGACCTACTCACATAAACTGACCTACAATTTACCATTCTTAGAAGGAACACCGCCTATATTATGTTCACTTATTCAGTAGTCATCGTCATATAGTAAAATGCCTTATAAATATCGAAGTTTAGTGTACCATGAACATAAAATCCTTATCAATAACAGGTTCATAAAAAGGATGCGAATTAATCTTTAGGTGTTTTAGTTTCTTTGTAAAATATTTATTTTAACTCGAGCAATTACTACTTTTCTTACTTAATTGTACTTCTATAAATACTTATAATTTCCTGTCACGCGCCTGTAAATTACAAGGTCTTTATGACAACTCCATTCGTTCTTTTTATTGGCAGCCTTTAGTTATTTCTGCTTTAATAAATCTCAACCAAAATTGCCTTTCCAGCCTCAATATGAAGGACGTATTGGAAAGACATATGGGTTATGACATGAGCGCTCGCGTTTGTTTCATTTCGATAAAGTGCATATTCCTATCTACCAGTCACTACAAAATGCTGCGCTATTTGCTCATGTTGAATAACCATTAGCATCACCAATAAAGATAACAGAATACACTCAACATTTACATTTCTGAACCATACCCTGACAAACTTATTATTCAGGTAACTTAGTAAAACGAAGCACCGGAGCTAAATATCAGAGACCTCCTGACAGAACACTTCGATCATGACACTGCATCTCCCCACCCTCACTCCACCTCGAAGAAATCACGTTTAGGGATCCTCTCAGCTTGCGACGTTCACCAAGCACAGAGAATTTAGACGGCGGTGAACATCCCACAGACACCCACTGGAGGCCGCACAAAGCGAGCAGATGAACCACGAGTACGCGAGAACCGCCGATGCAAGAGCGTTCCAGCTCCCACCGTCAGCATCCAGACTCCGACTGACTCCGCGCAACACTCTTCAATCTTTCCGGAAAGCGCCCTAGAGAGAGAGAGAGAGAAAAGAGGCGCGCTTGTTGCCTAGCGCCATCTATCGGCGGGTAGAAGCAGCAAAGCCTGATGTCAGCTTTTCGGTCAACTACACGCTTCCAGATTAAAATCCGTCCGGCGTGGGGATTCCGAGGACTTTATGATTGCTGCGAAGTCAATGTGATTGCGCAGTTCGCCGATAACAACACGGAAGAACAGGCCACACCTTGGGCTTCTTAAGCTGGCAACAACCATAGTCATATTAAAAATATGCGACAGATATGCTAACGGGATAGAGTAAATGAAAAAAATGAAAACTACATTTTATTTCTTGAGATCTGTGTTTAGTAGTCAGACAGAACAGGCCAGGTTTTAGACCTTTGCTCGTAAGGTTTGAGGTCAGTTGACGCTAAGCATAGTCGTGCTAAGTCTAAGGTCACTTACGGTATACTTGTATTTCTTGCAAGAAAATAAGAGCTCTAGCCTGGCCAAATTAGGGAACCGACCGAAAATTCAGGGGGCTTTCGCTATTTCAATAGTAATGACGGCATTTCGCTGTTTTGCTTTTAAGAAAGACAAAAAAGCAATAGATAATATCGTCTAAACCAAATCCAAGGATATTCCAGCCACGTGTTTCTCAGCAAGTGGTCGTTCTGGGTCCGCTCTAACGCAGCTAGTTAGTATGTGATGCCAAATATAGCTTCCAGACCTGGGCATCATGAGTCTGCACCCTATTCTTGCCCCTTTAATATGAACTGTTGTTATCTCAGCGAGTGTTTGTAAGTTCACTTGTACGGGAATCGCAACAAAAAATACGTCAAAGAGATCAGGATGCCTACTTAATAAGAAGCTGCTTTTTTCGAATGACAAGGCGGAGTTCGTTTCTTTTTGTTCTTATTATTATGGCACAAAATTTAGTTGCGTCTCTGAGAGAGCGGTGACCAACTTGCCTATACTTTGACGTTATTTTAATTACAAATTACTTCCCTTTATACCGCTAAATCGTAATTAAATTAACAATTACTATGACTAAGCATTAACCATCGCCCCATTAGATTACTTCATACTGGAACAGCGCGAATTTTACAGGGACAGATGGAAGGAACTGGACAGTACGAGCGCTGACTAACGACTGAAAGGTTTATTATCCGGAAACCACCCGAAGAAGACCGACAACAACAAGACTCTCTAATCATGATAGAAATGCGCATGCGCCTCACAAAATTGGGTGCTATATGTTGCACAAGTATATATGCGTCATCCTCGATCTAGAAATTCGAACTCACTGTCCAGCAAATTCAAGGAAGCCTGACTCACGCAGGCTGGCCCCTCCTTCTTTATTCTATGAGCTTCGACGATCTCTCGAGCCTTTTGGTCCCTGTGTGTATACAAAACAATGGCCTTGTCAAGTAACGGTGTACAGGCGCAGTCCCTGCAGTGTAACGCCAAATGGGAGCCTGTTGTTCCTGTTAAAGAACTACGGTGCTCCCGCAGGCGAATGTTGAGGCACCTGTCCGATGTATACGTTCCCGCACGTGAAGGGTATCTAGTATACTACACCCAAGGTGCATGTCAAGAACTAAATGCGGTGTTTTATGCCGCACGGCCTCTCCCCTGTTTTTCTTTTTTGTTAACACGCTTTTCTACTGCAGAGCAAATACCGCTTAACTTGTTACGTGGCGAGAAAACCACATTTACCCCGAACTTCAAGGCCGCTCTTTTAAAGTCGTGTGACATGAGGTGCACATAAGGGATGAGTGTGGCTTGCTTTTCTACTTTTTTTGTTACTTTTCCCTGCGCCTCACCCTTAACGCTTTTCACTATTTCTTCCGCGGCCTGGTCTCCCAACCTTTTAGTCTCCCGACCTGGGCGGCAAGGCTTTCGCCCACTCTGTGGTAGCAACACTTTGTAACCGCCGAAAGAATACATGATTTAGCAATGGCTCTTTTTACGAGTTTAGAATGCCCCGACCTATAATCAAGGAGAGTCTTGGTGGTTCTGGGATGAGGCTACCAACAAACGCGGCTCTGGCTCACATCCACACTGAGATCCAAACACTGAATTGTCTGGTCTTTTGGGATTTCAAAAGTGAACCGCAGGCTCAAACCTTGCTCCTTGAACGTTTTTAGCGCGGAATCGAGGGTCCGACTAAAGTTCCTTGACATTGCTGGAGAGTGAGGTCGAATTTTTAATTTGGGGATGACGCATATAGACATGTGTAACAGATAGCAACCAATTTTGTGAGCGCATGCGCATTTCCATCGTGATTAGAGAGTCGTGTTGATGTCGGTTTTCTTTGTGGTTTCTGGATAATGAACCTTTTAGTTGTTAGTCAGCGATCGTCCTGTCCAGTTCCTTCCATCTGTCCCTGTAAAATTCGCGCTGTTCCATTATGAATACATACCAACTCGCCCAGCTACCCTGTTTGCTAGATTACTTGCAAATTAAATTGCATGTCCTTGTTCAGCAAGCTGTAACTAATGGCTTATGTCGATAAAAATTTTAGTTATACTATAAGTTTTTTTTTATCTTCCAAAAGCTCCCTCCTTAATCCGGGGCACCAAACAGCTGCTTTAATTATGGCCCCAAAGCATAACTTTCGCGAAACTAATGCGCCTAGGAACCGAGAGAGAGAAAAAGGTGAATGGCTCGCGGGGGCGTCAGTACGCCGAGCTTTCGTCGGAATGATTGTGGCTAGGCCTAAAGCTAGCTGCCTTTGTCTTCACTGCACTTATTGAACGTGTTCGAATGCGAGAGCCAAACGATGGACGCCGGCGTTCTGTGTTCTAACGCGTTCCACCAGTCACGGTACTGGAGACAAAGTCATCTAGCTTTAGGTCTACCCTCTAATCCCTCCAATTAGAGCTTGCCGTTCTGGTGTCCCCGCGCGCTCTCGTCTCCTCCTTTCCCTTGGTTTCTAGGCGCTTAGGGAGGAACGGAAGGCGAGCAAAGCCCGTGGACTTAAAATGTCAGAACTTTTGAAGTCCCGTTTTCGGACCATTTCTGCTGGCGGTTTTTGGCCTCACAATCAGACTATTCACTTTTTGCGCACATGCCAATTAATATATGAACGTTTAATATTTTTTTTTTGTACGAGCTGTGTTTAGAAAATTTTCTGTTCCGTTTTCACACTCAAATTCATTCAATAATCAAATGGCTTTTTTCCGTAACTTATGATCCTGCACTTCACTACTTCTATTTTGAACCGTACGAGCAGTCTATTAATGAGAATGCGCACCTTGTCTGTCGTTAAGGCAGCACAACACTGCGTGTCTGCAGTAAAAAAAATGTTTTTGGGCTCTGTTTCAGATTGAACATTAGAAGCATCGCAGCTGTCTCTCAAATGAAGGTGCCTATCTGAATCTTTGAGTGAACTTATTTTGTACACTCTAAAAGTTTTCATGTTGGCTTTAAATTATTCACGCGGCAATACACCTGCGTGCTTCAGTAATAGCGATCTAAGTACTGTACGGTTAAGACAACAAAAATGATGTCTGTTCTTCAAGATGTGCCCGGGTAGGAGTCACGTAACGACTTTTTATTGTCATGCTTCTTGCCACGTTTGTCTTATTCAATTATTTTTTGGTTTAATATGCAGAAGTATACGTATTTGCATTATTTATAGAAATTAACGTATTGAGGTAATCAATTACGTGACATGTTACCTAGAATAAAATAAAACTGTTACGTTGTTCACTACTGTTATAAAAGAAACGAAGCATCTGCTTATATATGACCATAGTATAATTAATACTGTCAGCTGTAAAATCAAAGCGATATTTATAGATTTGATAGGATTTGTATTACCCAGATTAGAAGAACAGCTTGACACGTGAAGTGCTTTTATTTCAAGTGCCATTTCATTTCAACGCCATTATGCACCTGCCTAAACACGCCGCACCATTAACACGATCAAAACAACTGATATGACGTAGTCCTTACACTACAAAGAATGCACTAGAGTTTGTTTGTTTGTCTTTCGCAAAAAAAAACACACAATTAATCACATAGGACAATTCAAGGGTTCCAGCAAATGACGAAGCTCGAAATATCTTTGAGTCTAAAAGCAAACGATGCACGGAAAGACAATGCATTACACTTCGCTTCAAATTCACCACGACATTTTTCGCGTTTCTCTAACACTGTTACCTTCCACTGTTTCAATCAAGCGCCAGACATGCACCATGACAGTGTTTAGACTGTACGTTAGCGTTTCTGTTGCAACTACCTCTCGGACCTACTTGGACTTGAAATGAAACGCAGTAAAGGGTTATTATCGATTACGGTGCCTCACTCTGTAAAGGAATCCCCGTCGTCCGCAATTCCAACTTTATTATCGACCACGGTAAGCTCGAAGGGCTTCAAAATATGCGTCACTACTTCGCCGATGCCGGCGCAGCGCAGATCGACGATAAAGTGGCGCCCGCTTCACCACCAGGCACGCACGCTTTCGAAGCTAAAAAGCTCCTTCGATGCCAGCCGACCGGAATGAGGGGGCGCGATAAGCTTTAACGGCGGTTTGCCAGGATTACGCCCCATTGCGCTCGGCCACAGACAATGCTCGCATTAGCAGGACAAAGGAAACCAATGAAACGTTCTTTGCTGACGTAATGACTTCAGATTTTGGACACCCGCGTGGTGCTGTAGAATGGAAAAAAAAAAAGAAAATGCGATAAAGAAGGCTTTGGGAATCGATAGTCACGCTGCAGGAGTTTTATTACAGCGATGCGGTAGTCTCTCTTGCGAGGCAATGACAATTTTTCATTTTCCATCAGCTTCAGCGGGCGATAGTGAGTAATACTAGTTCATCATAATTGTTGTTTTAACCTGGCGCATGCGATAGTTTGGATTTTATTTAATTGGCGAGGAAGTGTACACTCAATTTTGATTTATTTACTCGAATCGTTTGCGTTCTGATATTTTTCACGTCCGAAAACGGGGCCATATTATGCTTCAAGTTCATTTGTTTTGTTT